TTTTTTTTTTTTTTTTTTTTTTTTTTTTGTGAAACAGAGTCTTAGTCTGGTCTAGCCTGAAACTTGTGATCCTCCTGCTTCAAATCCTCCTCCTTCCAAACCTTGAGAATTATGTGTGTACCACCACACCCACTGTCACACTGAGTTTTCTTTCCTTTTCCTCCCTCCCTCCCTTCCTCTTTCCCTCCCTCCCATTCTTTCTCTTTCTTCCTTTCTTTCTTCCTTTTCCTGTTTTTTTTATTATTTATTTATTTGTATGTATACAATATTCTGTCTATGTGTAAGTCTGCAGGCCAGAAGAGGGCACCAGACCTCATTACAGATGGTTGTGAGCCACCATGTGGTTGCTGGGAATTGAACTCAGGACCTTTGGAAGAGCAGGCAATGCTCTTAACCTCTAAGTCATCTCTCCAGCCCCTTCTCCTGTTTTTACGTTTCTTTGGAGACCAGTCTCACTCAGCATGCCTGTATGGCCTGGGACTGACAGTGTGGATCAGGTTGGCAGAGATTACCTGCTTCTCCCTCTCAAGTGTTGGGATTAAAAATGTGTGCCGTAATGCCTGGCTTAGAAGTATAGACATACTTATACACGATTAAACTAAATAAAGAAAAGCTATGTAAATAGAATTCTTAAATTTTTATCTTGGTTAAGAGGAGAGCGAGAGCATGTGCGCGCACCAACAGGCATACATGGGCCAGAGCTTGCATGTGGAAACCAGAATACAGTTTGTAGGAACTGGTTCTCTCCTCCCTTGTGGGGGCCTAGAATCAGTTGTCAGGCTTAGTAGCAGGTACCTTTACTCAGTGAGCTATCTCAGCAACACCCAAAGAAGATGCTACAGGTTATAAACATGTCCTTCCTCCTTCTGTTCCTCCTCCTCCTCCTCTTCCCCACTCCCCTCTCAGATAGGGTCTCATTGTATAGCCCTGGCTGGTCTAGAACTCGGAAAGATCTACTCACCTTTGCCTTCCAAGTACTGCGATTAGAGGCGTGCGCCACTGCTGGGCTTACACCTTTAATCCTTTATAGCTTAATATCTTTTTAAGATCGCTACCTTTTTGTGTTTTTGATGGGTACTTTGTCACTGTTTTCATGTTCTCGCTAGCTTGCTTTACTTCTGCCTTTTGTTAAGTGACTGTGGCTATTTCCATCACGTGGTAGAGTCTTTGAAGCTGAACTTTCAAAGGAAGTTTGGGCAGAATGAGGCTGGCTGTGGGCTGCCACCTAGCTACAGCTGTAAGAAGCCTCCTCCACCAGGAGATCTTATCAGTGTTTCTGCTGAAACTGATGCAGGGTTACTGTTTATCTATATAGCCCCTGAGTGTTTGTCTGCACTGATCAAGGTGGGCTATGAGAACTGTGGCTCCTTAGCCCTGATGGCACCATTAAGCATACTGTGCATTCTGAATTCACACAACACTCTTGGCCATGCCGTGAATTGATGGCATTTATGACTTCACTTAAGGTGTGAGAGGTTTCCTTTACTTCATGATGGACACTTGTAAAGCGTGTGCATTTGATGATCTCCATCTCCATTTCTTTTCATCTCTTGTTAATGTTTTTCTTCTTCTCTTATTCTCACTTTCTCTTCATCTAGTTTTCTTTTTATCCAAAACCTACTTACAAAACAGCATGCAAAAAAGTCTTTGTTACTATATATCATTTTGCTTTAAAAAAAAAAAAAACCAGCATGCACCAGGCGGCGGTGGCGCACACCTTTAATCTTAGCACTTGGGAAGCAGAGGCAGGTGGATCTCTGTGAGTTCAAGGCCAGCCTGGTCTACAAGAGCTAGTTCCAGGACATGCTCCAAACTTTCAGAGAATATTCTGTCTCGAAAGAAAGGAAGGAAGGAAGGAAGGAAGGAAGGAAGGAAGGAAGGAAGGAAGGAAGGAAGAAAGAAAGAAAGAAAGAAAGAGAGAGAGACAGAGAGACAGAGAGACAGAGAGACAGAAAGACAGAAAGACAGAAAGACAGAAAGACAGAAAGACAGAAAGAAAGAAAGAAAGAAAGAAAGAAAGAAAGAAAGAAAAGAAAGAAAGGAAGAAAACAGCATGCTTTTTTAGAAGGAACAAATTTAAAAGCTTAACATTGTGTTAGGAGATTTTAACATAGTATATTTATTATTATTATTATTATTACTATTACTACTACTACTATTACTTTTTGGTTTTTAGAAACAGGATTTCTCTGTGTATCCCTGGCTGTCCACAGGCCGTGAACACAAAGATCTGCCTGCCTCTGCCTCTTGAGTGCTGGGATTAAAAGCCGTTCTCATCAGACTCAGTATTATTCTTGATAATGCCTGTACTATGTGACTATTCATGAATAAAACCAATTAATTACTGCCGCGATTTGAAAGTTATGGAGCTAGGTCACATAAAGGCCCTCTCTCATAGGAGTCTGATCTTGAATTTGCCTTTGTGTAGGTTTGCCTCAGTGACATGAGGACGCACATAAGAACTTGTGAGAAGTACATTGACAAGTATGGACCACTGCAAGAACTTGGCGAGACAACAACAAGGTTTGCTTGGATACGTGTAGTGTCATGATAAATTCAGTATATCTCTGAAGAGTTTAAGCTTGGGAAGCGGAGACAGGAGGATTCTTATGAGTCTGAGGCCATCCAGGGCTACACTCGAAATTGCATTGGAAATTCAATTTGAATATCTCTTTTTTAAAAAAGACTTTTTAAATTTTTATTTTATTTGTCTTGCATTGTCTGTGCACCATGTGTATGCAATGGCCACAGAGGTCAGAAGAAGGTGTCGGAAAACCACCATGCAGGTATTAGAATTCCAAGCCAGGTCCTCTGTAAGAATAGCCAGTGCTCTCACCTTCTGAGCTATCTCTCCAGCCCCAACAGCCCTTTGTTTTTAATAGTGAGTGATCAGTACCCAAATCCCATCTTTCTTTTCTTAGTATTTGTGTGTATGTATGGTGCCGGAGTGTATGTCTGCACCAAGTGGACGTAGGGCCCTGTGCAGGTGGGAAATTGTGTTGGATCCCCACGGGAGTTATGCAGAGTTGTGAACCGCCCGCACGCAGATGCTAAGACTGGGCCTGCGACCTCTGCAAGTGCAGCGAGTGCTTTGCACCACAGAGCCATCTCCAGCCTTGGACTTTCGCATCTCAACCTAGAAGTCTAAGGCTTACTCTGGCCTTTTTATAAATGATGCCATAAATTTTAAATGAATATTTTTAATGTAAGCAGAGTACAGATTCTGCTAAATTGACCAGAAGAGGGGGGGGGAAGACTAAAATATAGCTTGAGAAAATATGGCTTTGACTGCAAATTGATGGAGTTTATGGAAAATTTAAAATATATAGAAACTAACTTAATCTCTTATTTCTTTTGCTGGTTAAAGTTATAGCAAAGACTCCAGCAGCTAAACTTGGAGGCACCAACTATAATTCCAGTACTCAGGAGACCAAGGCAGGAGGATCACCACTGCAGGGCTAGCCTATGCTACATAGCAACTTTGAGGGCAGCTTGAACCATGCAACAAAACAAACAAAAACCCAGCCCAGTATGGTGACAAATGTCTATAACCACAGGATTCTAGGAAGCTGAGGCAGAGGGATTGCTATAAGCTTGAGAAAAGCCTGAGCTACATAGCAAAAAACTTGTCTCAAAACAAACAAACAAACCAGAAAAGCAAACCAGGTGTGATGGTGCATACCCATAATCCCAGCACTTAGGGGCTAGAAGCAGGAGAACCAAGGTAAGCCTGGGCTACATAATGAGACCCTGTTCTCACAAAACAAAACAAAAAGATACTAACCTAGCTATAGTCAGTATAGTCTGTTTTTCCAAATTTCTAACTAGGTGACTACTCTCTAGCTGACCACTATTTTAGTGATTGCAATTCTGTGCTATTTCCAGATGTGTCTGTCCATTTTGTCAGAAGGAATTGGAAGAAGACTGCTTGCTGGATCATTGTATTACCTATCACAGATCAGAAAGGAGGCCTGTGGTAATGACTCTTGCCTACTACCTGTCTATCTGCCTTTCTGTCTGTATGTACTGTCTAAATTTAAGATGTGTTAGAATCTGGGCATTGTGGCTCATGTCTGTAATCTCAGCACTGGGGAGGTAAGAAAGGACGGATGCTGGAGGTTTGAGACCAACCTGGGTTACATCGTGAGTTCCATGTCAGCACTTACGTACTTTCTGATTTTTAAACGTACTACATTTATTTATCTGTGTGTTCACACATGTGGAGATGAGAGAATTTGGGAAGTCTTTGGCAGAGAACTTTGGGCACAACTGGTGTCAAGTGCCTTTACCACAGAGCACTTCACCAGCCCTGAGAAACTGTTTAATACTGTGTTGCTGGCATGATGGCACACACTTTTGGAAGACAGAAGTAGGCAGATCTTTGTGAATTCAAGACAAACCTGGCCTACACAGTAAGTTCTAGGCTAGGCAGGTCTACAGCAGTGAAACTCTGTCATTTGTTTTAATTCTTAAAAAAAAAAAAAAGATATTAAGTTGAAAAGATAAATGCATAGGATCTCACTATGCAGCCCCATCTGACCTGACCTGGAAATTTCTTTGTGAACCTGACTGGCCTTGAACGCACAGAGATCTTCCTGGCTATACATATAAATTTTAAAGTATTGAGATATGAAGCCAAGTGTAGTAGCATACAGGTTGTTTCAGGCCAGCCTTGGCCACAGTGGATTCAAAGCTAGCCTGAACTACATGAGAAACAAAACAGTTCTAGAGAGGTGACTCTGTCAGTAAAGTGTCTCACCCAACCAGGAAGACCCAAGTTCTGATCCCCAGCACTCCCTTGAAGTCCAGGGGTGATGCTGTGGTACCCACCTGGAATCCCAGGACTGGGAGTGCAGAGGTGGAGTCCTGGAGCCTGCTGGCCAGCCAGCTAGATGAGCTTAATTGCTTACCTCCAGGTTCAATGAGAAGCTCTCTCTCAAAAAAGAAAGTTGGAGGGGGCTGAAGAGATTGCTCAGTGTTTAAGAATACTTGCTTCTCTTCTAGAGGACCTGGGTTCAGGTCTCAGCCCCTATGTGGTGACCTACAGCAATCTATAACTTCAGTTCCAGGATATCTGATGCTCTCTTCTGGATTCTGTGGGCACCAGGCATGGATGTGATACACATATCATATGCTAGCAAACACTCATACATGTAAAGTCAATAAATCATTTTTTAAAACCTTAAAAACTGTATGGCAACTTAAATACATAAAATGGAAATGAAAAATAAAAATAAGGACACAGGGTTGAGAACAATTGAGGAAAACACCTGACATTGACCTATGACCTTCACATGAACACACACAAACATGACCATGTACATATACATGCAAACACAAGAACACATAGATACATCACACACATGAAACTAAACAAAGCACAATGTTGAGGTATGTTCTATGTATTTCTAGTTAAAATTCACATTCAATGGTGACTTCTATTTAAAAATTCTGGTATTAATAATTATTTGAAATTCTTTCTTGAACTGTTGATTGGTCTTTCTCTCTAGTTCTGCCCACTTTGCCATTTGCTACCTAATGAGAGCCCAAGTACCTTCAACGGCAGTTTAATTAGACATCTGCAAGTCAGCCACACTTTGTTTTATGATGATTTCATAGTAAGTATAATTCTACCTTTTACATTATGTTTTTGTGCTGTCTGTGTTAATCTTACTTTTTAAAAACCCAGTGAATAAAATTATACAAGAAAAGTTGAGCATGTTGGTAAAGTGTACAGTATTAGCATTAGCAAGGAGAATGCCGGAACAGTAGAGTGCTTTATAGCACTCACTCTAATGTTGACATAGTCTGCTCTAACCATCTGTGAAAGTGTGCACCTTTGACCCCAGCACTGGAGAGGCAGAGGCAGGTGGAGCTCTGTGAGTTCAAGGCCAACCTGTTCTACAGAGTAAGTTCCAGGCCAGCCAGGACCACAGAGTAAGACACTGTCTAAATGAACAAACTAAAATGATAAAACGGACTTAAAGTAGCAGTTTCACCTTTGGTTGTAGAAGCAAGAGGGACTGGAAAGGGATGGAGCTCTTACAGCTTTTGTTTTTACTCATAGAAGTGCTAATATGAAGCTTAAATTTCACCGTGATAAATAAAGAAGCAAGAAGAGCATTTTGCTACATTTTTCTGTCCATAAATCAATAATTAATAGAACTGTTAGCATTCTGAGTCCTAGGAGTGGCTTTGTGCCCCCCCCCCAGAGTTAGAGATTGACCCTGGGGTCTTCCCCATTCTAGGAAAATACAGTCATTCAACCATGACTGCCCCCGCCCCCCGCCCCCCAGGCTATCAGGAATGTGTGAACTTTATTCCAAGTATGTGTGAAATGTAGAGAACATCCTGACCTGACAAGGCTTTCTTTCTCTTACATTTCTAAATCTTCAGGTTTTAGTTGACTTTTTACTTATATGTCTATGTGTATTGTTGAGGAAGAGGGGGTGTTTGTCCATTGAGGTCAGAAGTGGACCTCAGATTCCCTAGTAGTTGTGAGCCACCTGAGGTGGTGTTGTAGAGTTTGAAATCACCGGGAAAAGATCCCGGAGTCCATTCAGAGTATAATTAAACAAATTTATTAAGGCTGCTAGCAGGGACATCAGAGATGTGCCTTACAGAAGCAGGCGAAGGAAGGGCTCTTAAAGCCTTTTATCCACAAGAACTGTTCTGCCATGCCAAGATTAGATGGTCGAGGCCACCTCAAAATAGTCCTTGAATGTCTGCACAAGCAAGTTACAGAAGCCAAAATCAGCAGTTAGTCATCATAATGAGCAGATGGTCACAGCTGTGCATTCCTGAGTGGGAGTCAACAAGTCAGGGTTGCTGGGAACTTATCTTCCAGGAGCTTGAGTCAGAGGTGGCTTAGGTACCAAGGTGGATGACTAGCACAAAATGGAGTTTCTTTAGCATCACAGTGGGTGCTAGGAAATAAGCTCAGGCCCTCTGGGAAAGCAGTTTGTGTTCTTAACACTGAGCCATTTCTCCAGCACACATTCTCTATATTCTCTATTCATTAATATTCTCTATTAATTAAGACTTGATGGCAATTCCTGAAAGGCCAGTGAAGTCGAACAGGAACCAGTAACCTCAGAGTAAGTTCTGGGTCTGACAGGCTTCCTGGAATGATGGACAGGCCATGTAACTCAGGGAATTTATTCCTGAAAAATGAGCGTTGCATTGACCCTTGTTCATTTCTGACCCCATCCCATTTCTGAAACACTACTGGCTGTTTCTAACCATTCTTCTCTATTGTAGGATTTTGATATAATCGAGGAAGCCCTTATCCGAAGAGTGTTAGACCGCTCACTTCTTGAATATGTGAATCACTCAAACACCACATAAGTTTATAAATAGCGAAGGACCATTCCCTTGTACCATTTAAGATGCTGCTTGAAGGACTGGGGGAAACTGTCAATGTTTCATGGAGAAAAATGTACTACAGTGTTACACACTTGTCTTTGTTATGTTGCTTTCATTCTGGTCTAGAGCTGCCTTTACATTCTTGAGTTTCTTAGACATTTAACCACAGGCAATCGGCTCCACAAGCTATCGGCAAATGGAAGAGACACAGGCTGAGTATGTGTGCAGGAGCTCCGTGTGCACATTGGTGATGCTGGGCAGAATGCTACGTGTTCATGGCTGTCATCATGGTTAGGCAAGATGACCAACCTCTGTTCGACACAAGAAGATGGAGAAAGGAACAAAATGTGGACATTAAAAGAAACCTGAAATTTATTGAAATCCTTATGCTCTAATCTCCAATAAAGGAATGTGGACAATCTTATGTGAAAGGAGGAAGGGAAAGAATTTGAAGTCAACAAAACCCATTTTAACCAAATTACAGTACATAATACTATAACAGGAATGTATGGTGATGCATGCCTGCAGTCCAAGTATTTGGGAGGAGGAAGAATCAGAAGTGCAAAGCCAGTCTTGGCTAATGAGACCATAAAAAACATTAAAAAATTAAAAAAAGAAAAAAATCTATATGAAAAAAATCTATATGAACTTAACTATTGAAATACTATATCTGCATATATAAAAATTTGATAGAATATTTTTCAAATATTTGTAGCTTATTATTTGGAAGTATTTTATAATGTAGGTGATTTCTTAAGACCTATCTGTTGATATCTGTGGTTGAAGTTTTCACACTGGTAATTTTGCATGGAATTCCCAGGCTTTGTTTTTAATTTTAACATCTTAAAAGGTGTAAAATAAAGCACACATACTGAAAACCAGATACGAAATGTATAGCTTAATGTGTTGTTGTAAGAAGCATTATTGCTCGTGGATGGTGACATGCATATTTCTGAGAGACAGAGCAGGATTGTTTCAAGTTCAAAGCCAATCTGGGCTACAAGTTGCAGGCCTGCTTGGGCTATAGTGTGAGACCCTGTCTCAAAACCAAAGAAACAAAGCATTATGAATTCATGTATCTAGACATCTATCAATGGACTTCCTTCCATTACCAGTGTCATTTTACTGAGGTTCAACCTCTCTTTTCTTTGGCTGCTCCTCGAAGGTTGGCTGAGTCCTTTGAATACTTTATTACTTTCCTTGCTGTCTCCTATGGCAAGATCTTCCCTGCTGAACCCGTGTTTGCTACTATGGACCTGAAATCATCAACTCTCTCAGAAGCCTGGTTGCTTGCTGTGCAGAATGGTATTTCAAACCACAGTCTGAAGCTGGGGATAGTAGCCCGTGCCTGTAAGGAGGATCTGTTGAAGACCTTCCTTAGCTACATGGCAGGGTCAAGGACAGCCTAGGCTACAAAAGGCCCTATCTCAACCCACCCCCTTTCTCATTCCAGAAAAAGTCTCCACGGATATTTACTGCTATTGAGGTGGCCGTTGTTTGAAGGAGAGAGCTGGTCAACAGCTATGTGTCTGTTTAAAGAGAGAACAGTTCATAGCCAGGCATGGTGGTCATGGTAGTCCAGGATGGCTGCTCACTTGAGACCCTCTTGCTTCAGCTTCCTGTGTGTGAGGATACTGGTATGTGTTACCATGCCTGGCAGTTATTCCCCATTTTCAAAAATAGTTTATTGCGGGGGCTGGAGAGATGGCTCAGTGGTTAAGAGCATTGCCTGCTCTTCCAAAGGTCCTGAGTTCAATTCCCAGCAACCACATGGTGGCTCACAACCATCTGTAATGAGGTCTGGTGCCCTCTTCTGGCCTGCAGACATACACACAGAATATTGTACACGTAATAAATAAATATTATAAAAAAATGTTTAAAAAAATAGTTTATTGTGCCAACATTCTTTTTTTTTTGTTTTGTTTTGTTTTTTGGATTTTCGAGACAGGGTTTCTCTGTGGTTTTGGAGCCTGTCCTCGAACTAGCTCTTGTAGACCAGGCTGGTCTCGAATTCACAGAGATCCGCCTGCCTCTGCCTCCCGAGTGCTGGGATTAAAGGCCTGCGCCACCACCGCCTGGCCACTATTCTTGTGTTATGTTGTACTCTCTCCCTTTTATCCCCCAGTTCTGCAAATAATGCGTATTAATTATTACTGCAGTTTTCACATCTGATTCTTTAATGACACATTCAGGACACTGATGAGAATTTCCATTTTGAAATGAAGAAAAAAGGTAACAAAGACTGACCATCAACTCCTGAGGGTGAAATGCTACTTGACGTAAAAGTAGCTTCTTTAAAGGGCTGGTGAGATGGCTCGATAGGCAAAGGCACTTGCTGCCAAGCCTAGCAATCTAAGTTTTGATCCCTGTGGTCCACATAAAAGAGAGCTAACTCCCACAAAGTGCTGACATAAGGGGTTCCACACACACAAACACAGTACAGCTAAAGTTGTGATGATTTATAAGCATCATTCATGCACATCAACATTGTCACAATCAGGTGCCGTGATTTCTTCCCCTCCTTTGTGAGACAGCTTCTCCATATGTATTCCTGGCTGGTCTAGAACTCACTGTGTAGGGCAGACTGGCCTTGAACATTAGGTGATCTTCCTGCTTCTGTCTCCTAGTGCTGGGATTTAGATGTGGGCCACTGGTTTCTAAAATTTCTCTAATGAATTCTCCATGACTACTTTGATATTGCTACTGTTTTCCCACCCAGGACACGGTCACTTGGGAGATATAAAGGCAGGGAGGAAAAGGACTTCAGGACATCCCTTTTGTTCGTTCACTTCTCTATTTTTGGTCTTGGATTACATCCAACAACTGGTGTGTGTCTGGCCAGTGTAACAGTCATTCTATGTTAATTTAGAATCATAAAGTCATTACATCTGTAAGTTTAAAAACCCATTCGGAGGGCTGGAGAGATGGCTCAGTGATTAAGAGCACTGGCTGCTCTTCCAGAGGACCCCAGTTCAATTCCAGCACCCACATGGCAGCTCACAACTGAAATTCCTGCTCTAGGGCACCTGACAGCCTCACACAGACATAAATTTAGGCAAAATACCAATGCACATAAAATAAGAATAAACACTGAAAAAATTAAGGAAAAAACACCAACCTATTCTGGATAACCAAGATGGCTCAGCAGGTAAAGGCTCTCTGTGCAGTCTGTCATCCAAGTTTGCCTGATCCCCGACAGCTCGTGGTGGAAGAACGTCTTCACCTCCGCACCTGCACCATGCATGCTCATGTTGGAACTCAGTCAGCACACATAAAAGTAACAGCTGGGGGGAGGGGCTGGCTGAAGGGTGTCCGAGGTCCAGCACCCATGCAGGACAGCTCACTGCAGCAGCTCCTCTGACCTCTACTAGTACTTGAGAGCGAGCGAGCGAGCACAGGTGTATGAGCATCTGCACACACACACACAAAAAAAACATTTAAAAATAATGAAGTAAGAAACCCAACAACTGAATTCTAAGTTGGACATGGTGACTAAAGTCTGTAATCCCAGCACTTGGGAGGTAAATGCAGAAAGATCAGAAGCTTGGGGCCAGCCTCAGCTACACAACAAGTTTAGGCCAGCCTGGGTTCGCATGTGACTCTGTCTCTAAAACCAAAGCACTGCGTTTTAAGTACATGCATTGCTAGCAATGCGTGGACAGACTCAGAATAGTATCTGAGGTTTGTTTTTTAATTTTGTCACCTATAGGATAAGTTAGTGCTGGCCACCTGAATGCTTTTGGGTTCTGGATCGCTGCAGTTTGAGAGCGGCATGCAGGTAGATATCCTCCCACTGTGCGCATACCATTTTATAAAACGGGGTTTGTGATTCGTTGCTTTAAAAAGTCAAAGCCGGTATTCAAAGCTGTGTCGATTGCCAATACAAATCTTTCATGTGCTTTCTTGTAAATATTGCCTTATGATAAAACTGTATCGAAGGGAAAAATATTCCAGTGGCGTGCTAAAGCTAAGTTCTCCTAAACTGTGGGCAGAAAATGAAATGGCTGGGGACCAGTGGTAAAGAGGTCGCGCTCCTAAGACCTCCTGACTGTGCTAATGTTGGTTCCCTACTGTTACTGGGTATTACGTGTGTTTCGTTTCAAAGTGAGCTTACTCTACTTTTTGAATGTTTATCATATGATGATTTGTATGCTCACACATTGAAGGTATTTTTTAAGTACTAAGAGATTCATTCTTGTTCAAATGTAGAAAGAACTTTGATCAGAATTTAAAATGTATAATTCTTTTTCTTTTGAAAACTATTATGAAAAATAAAAATGGCAGGACCATTGCTTTCATTAAAATATTCAATGTGTGTATGTGGTTTTTTATTTTTGTGGTACTGGGCATTGAACCTGGGACCTCACACATGCTGGTAAAGCATTTGTGTGCCAAGCTACATCCCTGGTTCTCTTCCTTTTTAAGACAGAATCTAAATTAGTTGCCTAGGCTGCCCTCAAACTTGTGACCCTCTGTCTTAGCCTCTCAAGTGGCTGGGATTACAAGCCTGAGTCACCATAAAGTTTTTGTGGTTTTGAAACAGGGTTTCACCATGTTGCCCTGCTTACATAGCCCAGGCTGGTCTTGAACTTGTGATCATTCTCTCTATGTGCTCCCCAGCAAGTCCTGGGACTGTGGCCCTGCACTACTATTCCTGGCCAGGTAGTTTGGAGAAGCCCCTCCCCTCTCCTTTGCAGTGCTAGGGTAGGACCCAGGACATGTGCACCACCAGCTTACCTTTTCAGTTCCAGTGGAGCCCCTTGCTCACAGCCAGCAGTAACACCATGGTGCTCAGAATGCCCTGTTGTTATGGGTATTTTGAGTGTTAGCAAGGAGGGTCTACCTTCTCACTGTAGAATACTGAATATTCTTAGTTTCTGCCCAGATCCCAAGCCACAAGCATGCTCTTCCCTGTTAGGACAACCAGGCATGTCTCTAGACAATGACAGTGTCTGCTGGGACATAGGATCTTTAGTTGAGAACTACTGAACTAAGTGAAGATTTGTTTATGGGCCAGGTGGTGGTGGCGCATGCCTTTAATTCCAGCACTCGGAAGGCAGGAAGATCTCTGTGAGTTCCTGGCCAGTCTGGTCTACAGAGCAAGTGCCAGGACAGGCTCTAAAGCCACAGAGAGACACCCTGACTTGAAAACAAAAACAAAACAACAACAACAAAGAGGGCTGTAGAACTGGCTCAGCAGTTAAGAGCACTGACTGCGTTTCGAGTCCCAGGTAAGTCTGTACTGTGTGAATGTGTCTGTCTGTGCCTCTGTGTATGAATGTCTCTGTCTCTGCTGTCTGTGTGCTGTGTGCGTGATGTCTGCATGCATAATTAATCGGAAAAAAAAAAAAGCCGGGCGGTGGTGGCACAAGTCTTTAATCCCAGCACTCGGGAGGCAAAGGCAGGCGGATATCTGTGAGTTTGAGACCAGCCTGGTCTACAGAGCTAGTTCCAGGACAGGCTCCAAAGCCACAGAGAAACCCTGTCTTGAAAATCAAAAAAAAAAAAAAAAAAAAAAAAAAAAAAAAAAGCACTGGCTGCCCTTCTAGAGGTTCTGAGTTCAATTCTCAGCAACCATGTGGGTGGCTCATAACCTTATCTGTAATGAGATCTCTTATGGCATGCAAGCATATATGCAGACAGAACACTGTGTATATATAATAAACAAAAATCTTAAAAAAAAAAAAAAAAGAAACAGCCAATACTTTCAACCACGGAATCATCTCTCCATCCAGAAGAGAACACATCTTGGTTTTTTTGTTTTTTAGGCAGAATCTTAACCTACAGCTCCTACTGGCCCTAGAAGTCAAAAATTTGCCTTCTGGGAACACAGATTAGACATGTGTGCCACCTTACCTGAATCAAAGCAAAACAAAACAAAAA